AGTCATTTCCGACTTATCATACTGGTGACTTTTTTTACCGCCTGGAAAAATTAAATAAAAAAAATTGATTATAATCTATCGATATTCAAATCATATCCACTCTAGGCTGTGACCCTGCGAAGTGACAAGGTCAAAGATGCCTACTAAATTTATTGTTATTGCCTTTCGTAAAGTAGGGTGGATGTGATCTGAATTTCAATAGATTTGAAATTAGTACAATATCAGTGCTATAGGCTTGTACTCCATTCACATGTTACCCCCCTCTTTTTTTCCGGACAGTAAAAAAGGTCATCCAGTATAGTTAAAAATATATATGTAAATAAAGGAAACAACAAAAAATTTGGAGTTTAAACGAAAGTGACACATATGAATATATGCATGTGTAATTATCGTTAATTATATAAAAATAATGGTCATTACCTACATATCAATATATACATATGTACTATAGTAAAAAGTATAGTAAAAAAAAATTAATTATATCAAAGGCAACATAGGCCTTATCTAAGCGGATCTTCCTTACTTACAAAGTGTCTTGTGTAACCTGAACGTTTATTTAACATGCAAATAAATTGCTCGGGCTCTACTCAGTACTTTCTCCAAAAGGCCTAATTTCTCTTTTTATCGTAACGTGAGCAGCTTCTTAGGAAGCACTTGAATTTTAGTCATGCTCTCTAAGTGAATGACCTAGGTAATTTGTAATACCTACGTTATACTACACGCTTTACATACTAAAATGTTTGTTTGAAGAGACAGAAGAGTGAGTTCAGCGGGAATAACTCAGTGGCAATTTCATATACGGTTATCCACGTTTAGAGATGTTTGAATGGGGGACTTTACGAAATGATGGTCGATTTAAATAAAGTCAAGGCGTGAGTTCAAAAGTAAGCCATAATTGATTTAAGAACTTTGCAATTTTTTAAGCCATATTTTTAATTTTTTGTTTTGGAAAAATGTCAGTGTCGAAGTCGAAGAAGAGAATTTAAGTCAACAACGAAATATTTTATTTATTTTATATGACGCATATGAATCAGTAGAGTTCAAGAGGGAGGCCGAGGTCGTTACTTTGAAAATACTGAAGGCCTCCGATGGGCTTTTGCACAAGGCGTTTTTTAGAAACTTCCTTCCTATGGGTTTCCCGAAAAATTTTGCTATTGGGTCGTCAGTTTTCTTGCAGATTGGAGCATCAAGGTCGTAGTAGATGATATATACCTATTAATGCTAGTGTTCCACAAGGTTCCGTGCCTGTTCCTCACCTACGCTGTTTCTTCTGTATATCAACTATATGTTGTTGTTACTGGTTGTAACAATGGTAATGCTTCTTACATCAATTTAGGACGACTCTAGTCCAATATGAACTCTGAAGACACATGTTTGCGCGTTTACCGATAAAATGAACCCATTTGTCGTATCTCCTCCATTTCAAGGCACTCCCCATGCTACTTCAGCCAGCCCGTTTGCTTCTTTACAAGGCGCAAGCTAGCCCTCACATGGTGTAATATCCTAATCTCTGGGCCGAGGCACCCCAGTGCCAGCTCCTTCCACTTGACTGCATCCAGCGAAGTGTGACTCGAATTGTTGACGACCGAGTTCTTTCTGATCGGCTCGATTCACTGGCACTGCGAAGAGGTGTTGCATCCCATTGCATTTTCTATAGCATTTTCCACGGGGAGCAGGGGAGACCGGGGATGGTTGACTATAGAGGCAGGTTGACTTACTGTCAATACTCGATCTACTCGATAGTTTTGCCACATACAACTAGGTGCGAGAAACCGTTTTATTCTCCCGGTCAGGTACCGGGACCGTGGCACGTCGTTCGGGAGAAGGAGTATATTATCGAAAAACAAATCATGTGAGTAATTATTTTCCTCATGATATTTTTGTAGTAACGCCTAAATACTCGTTGTTATTTTCTTTCAAGTTATTTAAAATAAAAGTTAGATTTTTAATCTTTTTCTTAGGTATAATTCCTTTTTAGTTAGCCCCAGTTTTGAGGCTATACCACGTGATTAAAAATTAAAAATCGGGCCAGGGCCGTTAGATCAATTTGTTTTGGGGCTAATTGATCGCCTAGTCAATCTACCCCATAGTAGTCTGGGTATACTTAAGATGGAATAATGTCAAATTTTTTTTCGGTTTATTAAATGCAAGTTGTTACAGAACCATGCGAACGTACAAAAGAAATACTTATCGAGGAAGTTATACCCAAAAATGCCGCCGATAGAGCATTAATTCTACAGCAAAAGAATTTGATATATCATATAAAGCACTCCAACGCAACGTGGTAAAAATGAAAAAAAAATTTAGAAAGTAATCCGGCAATGACAAGATCTAAATATTACTTTAAATTTGAATTTGACTTTGGAGAGCACTGTACACTAAAAATAGAAAAAAAAGACGTGTGGCACTCGGGGACTGCCGCGGTAAAGCTATTGCATAGCATTTTGTATCAACTTATGCAATTATAATTATTTATTTATTTTATTTATGCAGTATTTCTTTTTCTTTGATATGAATTCAAGTTACCCTTTTTGAGCGTGGTGACTGATAAGAAAACAAATTTTTTTCTTTTATTAAATAAATAAATAATAAATGCACTTTGTTCATTCATATTCAAAACACTTTATACACAAATTTTACAAGTACAGCTATTCACTGTTGTACATAAATACCTATACACCTATATACTTCCTCATAAACAGCTGCTTATGTATTCGTCCGATTTCGGAGCAGCTCGTCTCGATTCGTGCGACCTTCGTAGAGTCGTACAATACGTCTAGTTGCACTCACACAAACACCGTGTCGAAGACTGCCGAAAAGAAACGACGACGACGAAATTTACTTTAAATTTGAATTTGACTTTGGAGAGCACTGTACACTAAAAATAGAAAAAAAATACGTGTGGCACTCGGTGACTGCCACGGTAAAGCTATTGCATAGCATTTTTTATCAACTTATGCAATTATAATTATTTATTAATTTTATTTATGCAGTTAAGTCTTTGATATTAAATCAAGTTACACTTTTTGAGCGTGGTGACCGATAAGAAAACAATTTTTTTTATTGAATAAATGAGAAGTTAATATTGTTTAAAATATTTTTAATATCTTACAATACATGTAGGTTATTCAGGAATTTTTATCATTGAGTTAGCAGCTAGTGTACATGCACACAAACACCGTGCCGAAGTCTGCTGCCGAGTGCCGAAGTCTGCCGAACTAAAACGACGTTAGACGATGCACGGCCTTCAAGCCACACCTCCGTGTCCGTCGGAGTGGGGAGCGTGAGGTTTTTTCGTTACGGAATTTCTGGATTCGGTCCCCGCGCTCAAGGCCCGCGATAGAAGCTATGCAATAGCTTAAAAAATATTTATTGAAGTGAAATTATTTGCATGAGAAAAATACTATAAGAAGGTAACTGATATTTATTATGTATTCACACTCTCTATGAAACATGAAAATTTGCGCTATTTATACAAATACATCTGATAAAGAAAATATTAAGGAAATAAAAATAAACAACAATCCTAAAAGACGCTAAATAATAAAACAAAGAAAGCAAAGATAATATAAGGAACATTTAAAGGAGTAATGGAAAACGAAAAGGAAAAAAAGCTGTAGAAGAAGACAAAGGTGATGTGGATGATACATTTTGTTTAGAGTGCACTAAATTTTATAGTTTGAAATGGATCAGTGTACTACTTGCAAGTAGAGTTTTAAGTATTTAGTTGACAAATGTTAAAATGTATGATTATTTATCCTAATTTAAAGTTTCTTATGTATATATATTAAATTTTTTAGTTTATTTAAATTGTCAGGATTGAAAATTTCGCTTCAATAAATAAAATGATAATTACAAACACTTTTTAATTATTTTATCCTTTTTATTCCTATAATATGTATCTCACATGTACTAATTATCTAATAGGTCAACTTACCCCTAGTGAATAGTCAACCAACCCCGGGCATAGGGTAGGTTGACTAGTATTTCATGTTCTACAAAATGCTTTTGCACTACATGATACACAAAACTGAATAGTTTACCTATCATATGTATTGGTTTTTACGATAATATACACTAAAACAACGAAAATACAAGTGTCTTTAATGAAAATTGGTCAACCATCCCCGTTCTCCCCTACTTAGACTAATATAACACACAAAATTCACGGTATCATCCAGGCAGTTCACCATGACTTTGCGATTTACTAGGAGTTTCTTTTCTCGCAAGACTTATTTGTGGATTTTTCCGGACCGATACGGACTTAGCAACCTTTATGAAACGAGCTTACTCCTTTTAAATAGGCAGACAACTCACCTACAATCTCCCTAGTGCTGCAGTTGTTTATGGGCGATGGTCGAAACTTACTATTAGGAAAATTTAATTTAATGTTGGCGAAACCGCGGGATGGGAAGCTAGTAATTCTATTAGTTTATATTCATAAATATCTAGTAATTATAAATACGGGGCTGGGCAAGTACAGACAGAACAGGCCGGTGAGGGGGGTTGGGCGTATATTCATAGTTAGCCTAGGGCTGTCGGAACTCTAAATTAGGCACTGGGTGTTTCTTTGCGTGATAGAATTCGTAATGGTTGAATTCACAGTAGAACCAGAGTAATTGACATATCTTAACGGATAAGTAAGCTCAAGTGGCGTATATTATTCTAATTTCGGCTTTATTTTCAAAACAGAATAAGATAATAAAACGTATCAACGAATCATAAATTCAGAGGCATATATTAAATCATTACATTGAGATCCACGACTAAAGCTCACTGGCCTATTTTCCAACACGTCGATGAGGAGCTAAAATAGAGCTATTGTTTATTGTGATTGGCTGTATAATTGCGTGAAACGTACAAGGGAATGCAAGTGGTGCGTTACCCTTTCGTAACATTCACCGACTGTCTTTGGTGCCCAGTCGCCAAGCGATTCTCAAGGCGAGTCCCATCGCCCACGCTTGTTCGATCGCTGTGGGCAGGTTGTTAATATGGCAAAAATGTCGTTCGTTCATTTGGAGCAAGGCAACTTAAAATTAACCATTACATATCGAATGAGCCATTGCTTCACTTTATTTTGGACACATGTATGTTAATGTTTTTTTTTTTATATTTTACCGTGAAGAATAATACTGGAAGCTTTCTCAATTGCTTCCTTTATGTCTTACACAGGATTATTATACCTTTTGCTAGCAGACAAATAATTTCTATACGATCTTACAAAAATTAGATTTAAAAACTATTTTTCAAATAATATGCTGGTTTTATATAGTATTACTTAGCTTTAGCAGTAAATATAAGTTTTTATAAGAGATAGAGGCAAGTTGAATCTATATTATGGTTGTAGCAAGAATCGAGTAGCTCGATTGAAGAAGGACCACGCTTTCACAAAATACCAGCATGAAATAACAGCATAATGTTGTCGTGTTTCGTATGAAAAGTGACGTGAACCGGATACATTCATTATTAATCATCAGATGTCAGCATATGCAATTTGATTCTTATTCAAGGATATATGTAGGTTTGGATAGATATTGTTGCCATATGACCCATGTGGTCACAATATCCATGCATCGTCAGGTATTCGTATATTATCGTTAACTGTATAAATATCGTTAATTTGTTCAATATTCATACATGGGATTGAGGGCAACACTCGCGTAAGTTAAAATTTTAATAAAAAGTATACACCGACCTTAAAAATTTAAGAGAATAAAATAATTTCCACATACTAGCTTCTGAAGTCGGCGCTAGGGTGTGTCGAAGAATTAAAGTCCCGACTTCAGAAGTGATGTTGAATTTGGTTTTTACTGTTTGTTTTATCCTTGAGAGTGGATTAAAAAATATCACAAGTTTAAGGTAGCAACTAGAATGTCGTTTAATTCGTTACTTTAAAAATAACATCCCCAACTTTTGCTACACACAAAAAAAACCCATCTCTAAGCGTGGAATTCTTCTTCAAATTGATATAGGGACCACACGGGGGCACAAGTCCATTTCTGAATAAAGGCCTTATAGGCCCCATAGATGGTCTCATAGAGGGGATATTTGCCACAGTTGCCACGCTTTGTAATCTGGTTAGCAATTTCATTTTTTAATATTTTTAGTCGAAAGACGCTGCTGCCTGTTTCGTTTTTCTTTTTTGCTTCTTACGGTACCTACGGAATGATATGGGGTAGTGGATATTTTACACTGACCCTACATGGTAATTGGCCCCTGAGGTATAACTATATAATAAAAATATATTTAAATCAGCTCAGCCCAGTGGCGAAGCTTCCATTAAAGCCGAAAAGCCGGGCTTGCCTTATTAAACCTGAATCAATCAATAATATCAATCAATAATATCAACTAATAAAATAACTCGTAAAATGTTTCATGCTATTTCAAATTTCCCGCGCACTCCACTGTTCGACACATGTCGACCGATGACCTCGTATTGCCTTAGCGATACTGCTGCTGTCATAAAAATGAGTTTTAATAGAGCTAATAGTTGTCTCCCTCGCTCGCGTGGGCTTTTTACGGGGCTTCCGAGAAGACGATCGCTCTCTTTCTAACGTATGGCAAAATATTCTATAATGAATTATAACTACGATTGTATATATAGCAATTAGTATAGAGATTTAAAGCCAGGCTTTTGGGAATAAATTTGTTAAAAGCGGAGGCGCGCGGGCAATACGTTTGCAAGTTCATTTCACGTTTCAATGTTTATTTACTCTGTGTGCTTATCTTAAGCGATTTAATATTACGAGTTCGAAATTTATGCTTTTTTAAAGATTTTTAATGAAAATGGAGGATAATAGTGTTCCTTGTGATGAATTGAAGTGTGGTAAAGTGATAATCGGAGAGGAAATATTTAAACTTTGTTGAGATAATACACAAGGTTAAGAGTGTATTTCAGATTTATCAATTATCGCAATTAAAAACAGTTATTGGTACAATTAAAACGTTCACCAACATTTTACGTGGACGTAATTAAATCTTTCCATAAGAAAGCGAGACGATTCCACTTATCTTATCTTATCTCTTATCCATTAGAATGTAAATACATTTTTTTTAATTTTGTACATAGTTTGTTTGTACTTTGTTCGTGTTTTACTTTTGTTCATGTATTGTATTGGATGTAAATATTTTTTTTCTTTCGCTTAAACAAACCCAAAGGGCTTTCTTCAAAGCCACCGAAGCTATGCAATTGCTGAATATGTAATACTATCTATCTATCTATCTAGCAGTGTTATGCCTTCTGTGTGCTTTGTTGAACACGTCCTTGACAGCACTGAACATGAAACTGAAGCGTGGAGACAGATCAAGATTGGTGTATTTTTATAAAACTGCTAAAACAACAATCTATATTTTTATCAATTTATATCTTGGGCTTGCCCTAGCTTGGAGCCCTAGCTTCGCCACTGGCTCAGCCGTTTCCAATAAGTCGGTGAGTTAACTTAAAAACTTAAAATAATATACAGGTCGAATATAGAACCTATTCCTTTTTGAACTCGGTTAAAAAAATTTGTCTACCTGTAATTATTGAGGAACCTTCTTAGCTCATTTCGCACGCACTGTACCTGGAAATACAACCTTAAGCGGTAGGTAGGTATGACTCAACTATCGCCTCGCAGCGAACCGGATTATTTAATGTCAAGTGTTTATTTTGCACGGTGTAACACGTATATGACGTCACCTGACTGACTCAAGTGGTTATGTTTGGAATATTGGAATATTTTACTTGGTAGCTTTAACATAACATATCATAAACTCTTACGACTGTCGCCCAGTGGGGTAGGCGGAGACTGTAGACTCCAGACCCCGGCGGCCCTGCTATTCCTGGCTACGGTTGGGACCAAGTTAAACGGCGGGGCAGTGGGTGCTGTGCTTTGTAGCATTCCTTGATGGAAGCCTATGTTCAGCAGTGGACTTGAGAAGAGCTGTAATGATGATGACGATGATGTATAAGTCAAGCATACCCTGCATGGTCAAGTTTTGTTTGCCAGTTAGATTATTCCGGAATGTCCTATATTCAGCAGTGTATTTTCTTCTATGTTTAAAGTTGGCTACGGGTGTCCATGGATTGAGGTGGCAACTGACGCAGGGGGTGTCGTAAGAAACGAGATAAGGAAACTGAAGTAGAAGAAGGGCAGCAGCTTCTTCAAAATAACAGCTAGAAGTTAAAAACTACGGCTGCAAACCGCTTGCCGAGCGTGACGACTTTGGCAAATATGCCCCTTACGAGGCAATCTATAAATAATCAAATCTGACCTGTGTTGCCTGTAATTAAAGAATAATTGAATGGGATAAGTTTTTTTTAAAAAAAAAAGAAGAATATTAACAATGCAATAATCATTACCAATATTCCCTTTAACCACTCGTGGTAAGCTCAAATTGCTTGTGTTACGAGTGGTTCACGCCAGTAGTCGAATGGCGGATTCGAACCCACGACCTTATTGAGTTCGCGATCCGCGCCCTGCCATTAGGCTGTCACTTAATGTGTAATGGGATAAGTTTATACTATCAATTTATCAAAAAGGGGCACTGGTCTCTGGTCGAGGTTTCGTAGTGAGCAGAGAGTACCTAAAGGGTTAAGGGAAAAATTACGCTGTCGCGCTCTTTTGCGTGTTGGCGGATTACACATATCAATTATAATTTGACGGCTCCGTGGCGGAGTTGCTTTTAATGAGTTACAGCGCTGGGGGCCGCGGGTTCGAATCCCGCACGGAACAAGTATTTGTATGGACTACCAATAATTGATCCGGGTCGACATGTTTGCCCTTATGCAATTTATGTTTGTAAACTGCCTACACGAGAAAATCCTAGTGTTACAGTATATTTATAGTTACCTAGGGTTAACATATTATAAAAAAAAATTATAATATAATTTGTTTTCTTCAAATTCAAGATGTTTTCTATCGCCGTCGATCACGAACTAAAAATTGCAATTACTAATTAAAAAGGTAACGGCGGGGATCGAACCTGGTTGTTCGCAGTGTGAAATTTATTACAAGCGCTTAGCATCGAAGTTACTACGGATTTATGTATGTTTATGTATATGAGTATTGAAAAAAGTGTTGTTGCTCTTAGTATCTTACGTTAAAATATATTACGAGCGCTTAGCATCGAAGTTACTACGGATTTATATATGTTTATGTATATGAGTATTGAGAAAAGTGTTGTTGCTCTTAGTATCTTACGTTAAAATTTATTACGAGCGCTTAGCATCGAAGTTACTACGGATTTATGTATGTTTATGTATATGAGTATTGAGAAAAGTGTTGTTGCTTGTTGTTGTTGTTTAGTATCTTACGTTAAAATTTACCCACCTAGGGGAAAATTTATTTTAAAATAGTATTATTATACTGTATGTACACTTTAAATTTATTTTTGAGATAGCGTAGAGCAAAGTTACGTTTTTGTTGAAAGTTTAGGAAGTTCTTGTGCTAGTAACAATTGTAAAAGTTTTACAATGTTCTCTTTAATCCTTCCTATCCTTCTTATCTTAAGGATCGTTTTGAATTCCTTCACTATTCCCATTCGAAAGTTTTGAGAACATCAGAGAATTTTACATTAAAAATGCCTGTCCATAATAGCAAATTTATGGACAAGTCGTTTAGTATCCAAGCAGTCCGTCTATGGAATGCCCTACCTCTGTCAGTGAGACGCGCCCAGTCTTTACCTGTTTATCAGAAACTTGTACACAGTCACTATCTTAATCTTTGAGTTCGTGCCATTTATACATGTAGTATACATTCGTATTTTTTTTTTGTATTTATTTGTTGTTTATTTCTAATTATACTATATAAAATATGGATATTTTTATAAATATTGTTTCTGCATCACCAAACCACACAATTTACTATTTTTTGCGATCCTGTCCATCCAAAGGTTGTCTGGAAGAAATCGCTTTTAGCGATAAGACCGCCCATTGTGACACTATTTTTTTTTCTTCTTCTTTCGTTTATGTATTGATTTGGTGTACAATAAAGAATTATCTATCTATCTATCTATCTAAAAGAATATTTAGAGGAACAGTGCAACATTTAATGCATTGCATGTTTTTCTTGACATTCATATTTATTTTCTTAGTATTTGCGGGTGCTATAAGTTTAGATGATAAGGAGAAGATAATTACTGATCCTTGGGAAACTAGTGACTGACTATGAATTACAGCACATAGGCTATTCGTCTCCGACCAGTACCCCCGAGGCTATTTACAGGTTGATACAACGTTACAGGGTGCTAGTACCAAATAATGGAACCCCTTCTGTTTCATTTAGTTGATAGATTATTTCTCTCATCTGTTCTAGTATCTCCTAGTTAGGCGTTTTTCTATTCAGGTTATACGTTCATTCCATCTAACACCACATACAAAAAACTTCACTAGCTTTCACATCCTTATAATGTTTATACTCCAAGTGTTTTGATAAATCGTTTTTGTTGTTCCTTGAGATTTTGACGGCTTTGTAGCGCAGTGATTTAGCACTGAGTTGCGACATGGGGCTGCTAGTTCTAATCTCGCACGGAACAAGTATTTGTATAGCCCAAAAGTAATTGTTCCGAGTCTGGATGTTTGTCCTTATAAACTACGATACGGGAGAAAAACCTAGAGCGACGGTTAATTATTAAGGAAATTATTAGATATGATAATATGTTGTAGTTGATAAAATATTGTTTTTCTATTCTAATTCTTAGGATTATTGACTTTAATTGATAAGAGTCACAAATGTCAACATTTCCACACGGCCCTTGCATCGATAACTCAGTTTTGCACTCGGTATCCATCATTGCGCACGACACGGTGTTCCTTTGCGCACGGTTATCATAATATATAAAGCTGATAGCTCGAGACTGTGTCATTAATTCATTGAGTGGTGCTATAACAAGATTCGAGACTTATTAATAAATTCCTTCGTTAATGTGAGTATTTACCGCATTGATAACTTTGTGTTTGCGTAAACAGATGTGTTATTTTGATAACGAATGTTACTTCGTAGTTTTTTTCACGTGTGCGTGTTATTTGTTTGTGCGCGATTTAACGTGTGTATAACTTACCGCGTAGAGGTGGTGAGTGAATATCCACAATCCACAGATTACGGGTAATCTGTGCTACTACCCCATAACCCGTGGGTGTCGAAAGAGGCGACATGGAGAAACAAATCAGGAGATCGGCAGCAGCGTCTTCCTAATGAAGACTAAAAACAAAAAACTGTGCTTGTCAAGAGTTTCAATTAAGGCAAATATCGCTCTATGGGGAAATCTATGGGGGAGGCCTGTGTTCAGCACTGGACTTAACAGGCTGTAACTGTACCGTAACAGATGAATAACTTTGTGGTCGTGTGATTAATTCTACGCGTGTGTAATTCGCTTGTGTGTGAATTATTTAACGTGTTTATGATAAAATTCTTAATAATAGGTGTCTGTTATGACTATTGTTTACATCAGTATATTTTATTTAAAGTCAGTACGAAAAACAAAGTTGTTAACACTCATCGGACTAAGTTTGTTCTATCGGTTAATTTAAATTGTTGTTAACTAAAACAGGTCAAAAAGTTTCATGGCGTTAAATAAAAAAAATCATTTACTTCATTTAATTAATTTGCGGTACGTATATATAATCTTATTACATTAAGAGGACTACATATCCCTCCAGGATGGAATTCCACTTCCAGATATATAAAAAATATATTCCTTTTTCTTTATTAATTTAATATTTTATTGATTAAAATTTTCAATACTTTTTAGTGTCAATTGTGATCACTGTATTAAAATCACCACACATCAAGCTTTTCACAGGTCGATTTTAAACTAACTATAATTACTTTTTTGTTGATTCACAATTACCGGTGTTAACAAAATATGACCATTCCCATAGTATTAAAATTACCCGACACGTAGTTTTAATTTACTTTAAAAGTAGTACATTTTAGCCTCAAGTTAACTATCGTCTTACGAATTATTATCATATTTATTATTCCAGATCTCAACAAGAATAATGTCGTGCAGTAAGGTACCAGAAAGTAAGAACAGTTGTTGCAAGAAATGCGATAAGGACGGATGTGTCTGTATACCAACAGATGAACAGCCCTACGTTTGCGTGTGCTTTGATGACAAGAAAAATATTATAAAGTGCAATGATTGTCTATGCTCCGGCCAGAATGAAAGCAGCTGTAATTGTAGCAAGGATAATTGCAAATGTATTTCTACGAACGGTGCAGCCTGCATATGCGTTTGTCTTGACGAAAGTGGTGGCTTTAAGCGCTGCGATGACTGCAGTTGTATTTCTATGGACAGTGGCTCTACTAAAGGATGCTGTAACAAAATATGTGACAAAAAGGAATGCGTTTGCCTACAAACTGAAGGTAAAGAATGCGTTTGCGTATGCCTGGACGACAAGAAAAATATTATAAAGTGCAGTGATTGTCTATGCTCCGGCCAGAATAAATGCGGCTGTAATTGTAACAAGAATAATTGCAAATGTATTTCTACGAACGGTGCAGCCTGCATATGCGTTTGTCTTGACGAAAGTGGTGGCTTTAAGCGCTGCGATGACTGCACTTGTATTTCTATGGACAGTGGCTCTACTAAAGGATGCTGTAACAAAATATGTGACAAAAAGGGATGCGTTTGCCTACAAACTGAAGGTAAAGAATGCGTTTGCGTATGCCTGGACGACAAGAAAAATATTATAAAGTGCAGTGATTGTCTATGCTCCGGCCAGAATAAATGCGGCTGTAATTGTAACAAGAATAATTGCAAATGTATTTCTACGAACGGTGCAGCATGCATATGCGTTTGTCTTGACGAAAGTGGTGGCTTTAAGCGCTGCGATGACTGCAGTTGTATTTCTATGGACAGTGGCTCTACTAAAGGATGCTGTAACAAAATATGTGACAAAAAGGAATGCGTTTGCCTACAAACTGAAGGTAAAGAATGCATTTGCGTATGCCTGGACGACAAGAAAAATATTATAAAGTGCAGTGATTGTCTATGCTCCGGCCAGAATAAATGCGGCTGTAATTGTAACAAGAATAATTGCAAATGTATTTCTACGAACGGTGCAGCATGCATATGCGTTTGTCTTGACGAAAGTGGTGGCTTTAAGCGCTGCGATGACTGCAGTTGTATTTCTATGGACAGTGGCTCTACTAAAGGATGCTGTAACAAAAAATGTGACAAAAAGGAATGCGTTTGCCTACAAACTGAAGGTAAAGAATGCGTTTGCGTATGCCTGGACGACAAGAAAAATATTATAAAGTGCAGTGATTGTCTATGCTCCGGCCAGAATAAATGCGGCTGTAATTGTAACAAGAATAATTGCAAATGTATTTCTACGAACGGTGCAGCATGCATATGCGTTTGTCTTGACGAAAGTGGTGGCTTTAAGCGCTGCGATGACTGCAGTTGTATTTCTATGGACAGTGGCTCTACTAAAGGATGCTGTAACAAAAAATGTGACAATAAGAGATGCGCTTGTATACCAACCAAAGGTAAAGCATGCATTTGTGTGCGTCTTTATGATAAAGGCGTCATAATATGTTGTGATGACTGCCGATGTGAGAATAGTAGTACACCAAAATGCAGTAAACGCAACTGTGTTTGCATTCCTACTAATGGAGCAGCTTGTATATGCGTTTGTCGTGATGAAAGTGATGGTGTCAAGCGCTGCGATGATTGCAAATGTATTTCCGAAGAAAGCATTCCTAACACTGGTGTGTAAAAAGAAAGAACAAAATAGGCGCATCAGAAATGGCTGTGCACAAATCTATCATGGTACGGTTTACATATATAAAGAATAAACCGTTACATATATAAAGAATAAACATTGTATACATTTATATTACTTACCTAATTTTGTATTTATATGTGGTAATAAATTACCTTTAAACAGAATGACATAATTTTATTTCTTAGTATATATAGTATTATAATTATGGAGTGTAGAAGTAACGAGTACCAACTCCCATAGTAGAATAGTTGAAAAAGTGGCAATCTCTAAGCAGTAAATAACAGTTCTAAAACTCTCCACAACAGCACTGGAGTAGCTACTTGGATGGAATGAACTTAGCAGTTGTCGACGGTTTGAAGTGTGCTACTAAACTGCTCAGTAGCTCTAAAATCTAAAATAATGTTATTTAGTAAATATAACCTCGAAAAAGTCGTCTATCCCACTAATATTTTTCGGCACGTTCTTTAAAATTTAGCCCGTAGCTATAGTGGCGCCACCCTTATTTAACGGTTTGCTGTGGACACTTTTTAATACAGACACACACACACAGTCCACCTGATGGTAAGTGGATGATATGGCCATCTATATTTATCTTCGATTAGGAATCAAAATGCAGATGCGTTGTCACCCCTGAGGACTGTAGTGGTATGCCTCGTTCCCAGCTACACACACCATACGAAACACAGCGGCATTAAGCCGCAATTTTTCGCTGGTACTCAGATTATATCCGAAATAAACTCTCATTTATAATTCCAGCAGATTAAAACTAACTTCCAGATATCCTCTCTTCAACCCCTCCCCAAACAAAAAAAACGTCAAAAAAAACCCTTTAAAATGAGAGCGTGGTCTTTTCCCGGTCGTGCTGACAAATTCGTGCTACAACTATAATATAACTGCAGCGTGGCTCTACAAAGTAAGAAAAGTAAACAAAGTAACAGCTTAACAGGCGTGTTGGCGACCGGTTATTTTAAAGAAGATGTTGCGACGTCCGCGGGATGGTATGAGGTACAATACTTACGCCGTAACCCGTAACTACACGGAGAGTGATTTTTATAAGAGCGGCGCGGTGAACACTTCCCATTTCCAAAACTACTCTCAAAAGTGGCATGTACACAGCAGTACTTGTGCAGGCAGTTACTACTGGCATATCATGGGGTCTACCGCTCGGAGGCGCTATGGCCAAAAATAGCTATAGGCTGTCACGGTTTTTCACAATGAAATGCTATGTAGTTCTTTTTGCTCAAAATTATTTAGTAATAGCTATTTTTCGAATTTTACGAGTACGTTGATTTTTACAGGATTTATTTAAACAGTTACGGCAGAGAGGTAATTTTATTTTCCAAAATGCCGTCTCCAAAATCTGCCATCTGGAAGTTAGGCCATCTGACCTACACATCCTGCGTCACTGGTTGTTCCTTGTCCTTTTTTAAATCATCATCATCATCATATTACAGCCTATCACAAGTCCAATGCTGAACATAGGCCTCTCCCAAGTAATGCCACAAAGCGCGGTCCAGAGCCACCTGCGTTGATCGACTTCCTGCATGTCTTACCAGGTCGTCACTCCATCTAGGGGAGTCGCCCTACAATTCGCCTACCAGTACGAGGCTGCCACTCGAGAACCTTTTTTCCCCATTGGTTTTCGGTTCTTCGAGCTATATGGCCGGCCCATTCGGCCATTTCAGCTTACTAATCCGTTGGGCTATATCAGTTACTCTGGTTCGACTGCAGATATCCTCATTTCTGAGTTTATGACGCAGAGAAACTCCGAGCATAGCCCTCTCCATAGCTCGCTGAGCGACCTTGAGCACCCTCATATGGCCAGCAGTGAAGGACCACGTCTCAGATCCGTAAGTTATCACTGGCAACACGCAATGGTCATACAATCTAGTTTTTAAAGTTTGAGGTATACCTGACGAGAAGATGTGTCGTAATTTTCCGAACGCTGCCCAGCTGAGTTGAATCCGTCGATTGACCTCTCGGTCGAAGTTGGACTTACCTAGTCGGACTATTTGTCCCAGGTAAACGTACTCGTCAACAACTTCTTACAATTAATAATCAACTAACTAAGCAACTGAATGAAGCTAGCTGCACGATAATGAACTTTTTAAACAAGTAATAACAAAACAACACAGGTGGTCTAGGCTTGTAAGTTGTAACTGATTACAGTAATAAACGGATTTAGACGGTATGCGATAAGATATCAAATCGTCGACACCGTCTTACAAACAATAACTTTCAATTTTATTTTAAAAATCATTCCAAATACGGAACTATAAACTCAAACTGTTTATAACGACGTAGTAAATCATACGCTCACTTAATTGAGAGGTCATTATAGGGTTGCTAGCTTGTTTGTCATGCTTATTTCTACAAAAATTAATATAAAAAAATATTTCTTCATTATCATGATTATATCACAAGTACACTACAGTACATAAGCCTCTTTGATTGATTGCCATTTAGCACGGTCTGATTCATCTTCATCCATCGACCTCATGCATTTCTTCTTAGATTGTCACTTGTCACTTCACCTAGTGGTGCAGTGTAGCCATTCTTTCCTCTTCAAATGATCCATTGGTTACGATTTTGATCCATTATTTTACTGATTCTACCATGGAGAAAAATCCAGAGCTTATCACTCCTTCAAATGCTATTAGAAAGTTTCTTACAAATCGTTTATTTGTACAAAGTTGTTTACTCACGTGCACAATGAAATATGTTTTAAAAAAAGTCCCGCTGGTTCTTCCCGGAACAGAGGTTTTTTTTCCGAACAGTGGTAAATAAAAAAAATACTTTCAATAAATATTATGCAATAATCTATATGGAATAAAAATCATTCATTTCATTTCAATAACGGCTAAATATTGCTTGGTTGCTTTTGCTAATTTTGCTATGATAAAACAATAATTATATTAATATTTTTATTTTGTTATAGAGGCGCAATTATATTAATATTTTTAATTTTATATAAATATAATAACAAAATATCAAAAATCATAATTATTTGTATTATAATTTTGGTTGAATAAATAATCTCAAAGTATTTATAAAAACTTAAGTGGGAAGAAAAAACGGGAAGCAGGAAGTAGTAAGTTAACGCGGGTTGAATGATGGTAATGCTTAGTTTTGGTTACTATTTCAAATGTTACAGATTCCAATTAAAAATACTTACTATTCGTACTTTCCCGCTTTCTCTCTTTACCAAAGTCGTAGCCATTGATTTTGTTTGTTAGATATTGTAGATTAGTTATGGCATCTCATTTCTCTGCGCCATAACTCACGTTGACCGTGACAGGCTGTGCATGACTTGTCAATGTGACAGCGATACGGTGGGCAAGCTTCTTGGGTGGTACATTCCACTCGGGCTAAGGTTACTTATTATTTTGGTTAAATCACATCAGGATTTTGAATATAAAAACATTACTTTTATATTTGAGTAATATTTTACATACATAGTGTTTTGCCTGTAACAAGCTACTGGAATGGAATATGATTAGCCCAATTAGCCAAAAAAAGTATGACTTTGGATAGAAAACATATCTTATTTCCCATAAATCGCTTTTTAGGACATGCTTGGCAAGTAACACGGTTGGAAAATTCAGGTTTATTATAAATTCCATATAATAATGGAAATTTCTATAAAAGATGATAAAGAAAAAAAGAATATGTGACAGTGAACTGCATTTAACCTTGTAGTTATCAGAAACGTATTAAATAAAAATATTTTAAATTAAACGCAAATCAATAAAATTTAACTGTAGTTTTAAGAAATTAATTGATCACAAACATCTAGGAGATAACGAGTTTTTTAAAATATAAAAACGTTTTACTAGCGATTGTATTGCCAATAATGTTGCTGATATAAATAGGTACATAGACAGACACTTCGATCGAAAAGAAAAGTAGACATTTAGAATAAAAGTTACTAGGTTTAGTTTGGATTATAAAACAGTGGAACTTTGAACTTGGAAAATTTTAAGATTAGCATAGATGATTTGAGGCACTGATAAAGTACCCTACCTATAACCCCTAAATACTCTGTGAGAGTACGGCACAAACCTCTTCTCAAATCCGTAACAAACATGGAGTTGGGTTGGGTTAATTAAGTCAAATTGCTTTAATGTGTTGGGTGTTCTTTAAATGTGAGCGTCTCGTATTTCTTAGACAGATTATAGTGAGTACCAACCTATAACCCCTAAATAGTCTGGGAGGGTACGGCACAAACCTCTTCTCAAAACCCGTAACAAACATGGAGTTGGGTTGGGTTAAGTAAGTCAAATTGCTTTCATTTGTTGGGTGTTCTTTAAATGTGAGCGTCTTGTATTTCTTAGACAGATTATAGTGAGTAGAGTACAAAATATAAGACAAGCTAAACGATTGGGATCCGTGATGACATATATCTCATCTCGATTAGGCTGTCGTGTCGAGTCACGCTACGAGTAGCTGCCATAAAGATGGTCACACAAAGGAAATTTAATGATATTTGGTGAGCGTAGTCTAGTAAATATGCTATTTAGGGCAAAACTACTCTCAAAAGTGGCATGTACACAGCAGTACTTGTGCAGGCAGTTACTACTGGCATATCAAGAGGTCTACCGCTCGGAGGCGCTATGGCCAAAAATAGCTATAGGCTGTCACGGTTTTTCACAATGAAATGCTATGTAGTTCTTTTTGATCAAAATTATTTAGTAATAGCTATTTTTCGAATTTTACGAGTACGTTGATTTTTACAGGCTTTATTTAAACAGTTACGGCAGAGAGGTAATTTTATTTTCCAAAATGCCGTCTCCAAAATCTGCCATCTGGAAGTTAGGCCATCTGACCTACACATCCTGCGTCACTGGTTGTTCCTTGTCCTTTTTTAAATCATCATCATCATCATATTACAGCCTATCACAAGTCCAATGCTGAACATAGGCCTCTCCCAAGTAATGCCACAAAGCGCGGTCCAGAGCCACCTGCGTTGATCGACTTCCTGCATGTCTTAC